TTTATGCGCCCGGATCGATAGATCCGAGAATATATTGTTTTTGTCCTGTCTGTCTGTTTGTTTGTTTGTTTCATTGTCCGCAGACTTTAACATTCGCCAAGAAAGATAAAGACTTCATATCTGAAATCTCTTAGTGGAAGTATGCATAAACACCCTTTTAATTAAAGTATGAAATCAAGATGTGTTTGTGAAACACTGATGCCCCTGTATGGCAACATAGCAAAGATTAAACTTTTCTTAAATGCAACTTTGATTAATTTGTACCAAAAATAGGGTATTCTCACTGGAAAACAAGTGTTTAATTTGAAAGTAAACCAATGATAAAGTTTTTTCAATAAGTATAAAAATCTATAAGGTCAAGGTCACTTTTATCGTTTTCTAACGTTTTAGCTGGTTTAAAATTACTTAAAAATTGGTCAAATTCCCTTCATTATTACAATGAATACCTTAATTAGATTGGAATCGGCATGTTTTGTGCTCTACCCTACGTCCTGTTGTCCCATTCAGACGACTAAACGCGCCTCTATTTTGGAGGGTTCCAGTATTGGAAATAGAACATATTCAGAATTGCTTTACATTATTCACAGCCCACTTTTGATAATCTCCTTGATTTTCTTTTACCATCGGGTTCGATACCATTCTATAACTATGAATTCAATTAAATTGAGATCGGAAATAAACATAAAGGATTTGCACATTTTGTTGCAAGCGCTCTCGACAACGTTAGTCCAAATTCCTTGAATACGCATGCTCTGCTTCACGGTCGTGCATTCTGGGAAACTGTGAAAACTACTATAGATAGACCATACGACAACAATTTCGTTGTATCACGTTGTAGCTCAATTTTTCCGTGTTTTTTTTTCCTGACGGAAAAGCCTGAGTCATTATATGATTGTTCTAAACAAAGTCAAGGGAGTTTTTTTTACGTCTTAGCACAACCAATGATAGACTCTAATTTCTGATTGGTCAATTCAGCCAACTTTACAAATTACAGAAAAACGAATTTACACGAAAAAGTAACGAATAAATCCATTATTTACATATACTAAAAAAATCTGATGTGTTTGGCTTTTAACCTAACATTTCTTGGCAAAGATGACCAAAAAGGACCACGCTACTTCACATCTTCACATTCGGAACTCTCTGGATTTCTTTATATAACATACATTTTGAGTTATTTTCTTTATTCCTTTTAACTCCCCTATATTGCAAAGAAATTCTATACTTAAACCAGCTCATACAATGCCTCAATCGGCATCTTCTCAATATTATGTACAGTCTCCTCCTCTCTAGTAAAGGTCATAAATGTTCCGTTGCGCGAAAATTCCAATAGGTCAACACCCCGTATGTGTCCATAAAATACTATTCACAAAACAATTATAACTTTAGTTTATCACTTTCCAGCCTCGATAAAAATTAAAGAATTTAGCAGAATAAATCATTTGATCACGGATCCTTCCTGTGTTTAAAAATTGTTACGGCGCTAGTTCACCTATCTTTTTTAAAAGATAAACTTGTTTTAATGATAATCACAACTTCAATAACGTTTTGTAAAATAAATGCTTGTTTGTTTAATTTATGAAAAATTCCGTTAACTTATACCTGCCAACTGAAACCACCACTGTATTCTCTTTTCTGATATTTAGATGTTGTTTACCGAGATATATTTACATCCACTGAATAATTTCTCCTTTATTTCTTAAGAAAACCCATTGCGTTAATCACTGCATGAACTACAGTAGGCATGTCGCCTGTACAGATTTCTTGAGTAGTGACTGTTCCACCAATGAAATGTATAAAGACGTTCGCATCATTAATACAATAATTAATCTTTTAAATCCTACTTTAAATGATTATTTAAACAGGTATAAATGTAAGCAATAAATTGTCCTTCTTTGTTTGTTATTACTGGAATTAACGGTCGCAGCTATTGCAGAAAAAAATACATAACCCGCGTAATTATGTATTTTTTTCTGCAACAACTGCTTCCGTTAATTCCAGTAATAACAAACAAAGAAAGCATTTTATTGTTTAAATGAAAATAGACTTTGAATTACATCTATAATAACTATTTTTGTTTATAAATACTCTTTAGTGTATCATGTTTAAATAATTCACAAGTGTTCTGATAGCAAGTTGTTTTAAATTAGCCGATTTTTCGATGCTTTATGGAAATTGGTTAAAGAAAAATAACTTACGCACTGCGTCATAAAATCTTCATAAATAACCATTGTATATTACGGAAAAATACTACTGAAACATATATTTTTACGTTCCGAAGAACTCAATGTATTCAAAAACGTCTATGTTTCATATGACCTATGTGCGAGATAACCAATTAATGTGACCAAATGTATCAAAATAATCCATAACTGTGTACACAAATTAAATAAATTTTGTTGCCGCGAAAGCAAAGTTCCCTGTTCACTGCCTTCCCATAATTTCCCGCATATATCGGATTTCTTTTTCTGATAATTTTTTATATGCATTTATGTAAACCAACTTAAAGGACCGAGCCTCTCGAGAACCGATACAGCCCATGACTTATTTGGTTCGTAAAAATGCGCTTGAACGAAATTTAATTCCCGTTGGGGATATTCCTAAAGACGGTAGCTGTCTCTTTCATTCAGTTGCACAATCGCTCTCTAATTATTTACAAATCGGCCTTAATCAGCAAGATATTAGAGATATCGTGGTAATTTGGCTATGGAGAACCCTGAAACACCGGCAGGCGACCGCTTTTCACACTTTGTACCTAATTTAGACTGGGATACCTATTTAGAGGGCATACTGGGTACCGAATGGGGCGACCACATCTGCATCACGGCCATCGCGAATATTTAATATCGCAGTAGGTATTGTGTCGAGCTCCCAGTTAGACTTAAGATACATTTTGCCTTTTGATCGTCAAAATAGGGAAAATCTTTTACATATTTATTTAGGCCATGAGTTCGAGTTTCATTTTATAAGGTTAGAACCGATACCGGGCACGCAGGCGGATATTTGTATTAATGAAGTTAATTTTCATAATGTTAATACAGTGTGTATTCCAAACAGGGATCTCAACTGTAACAAAACAACACAGATAATAACAATGTTCACAGTAATGATTTTTCTCACTATTCGTTACAGGAAGTTCAACTTGAACCTCAACTAACAGATTATTCTAGTGATTCGATTCTCCATACATATATCCACCAACGACAGTTCGTTATCTCCTCCGGTCAATGTAAACATAAAACCTTCGGCTTCAAATTCCTGACAACGAATTATTTCAGACTGCAAATGACCACATCGATTTTGTTCCGCCAACATTGGAAACGCCGACTTTGCAACGCTTTTCCCCAACAGCAATCTCCGACACAAACAATCTGAGCTCCACAGAGAAAATTATTTCCCCCAAGTCTTAACTCATCATTTTATTTATCTCCACCTTCTTTATCTCCAATTACAGATAGGATAAACGATTCAAATTTAGACAACAGCCACCAGTATTATCACCTGTCCGATTAAGGTCTAACGCGCGACCCCCTAAAAAGTTTACACCAAGTGATTATGTCAGGGCTCGTAAGCAAATTTTTCCGGAAACAGAAAATGTAAACCAAAAGCAATTCACTGATTTACCTTACTTCATTCAGCGTCATATTTTATCCTTTGTAATATACAAAAATTTTAACATGTTTTTGACTTTAATAAGGGTTTCAACACACTTCAAGCATTTGCTAGGCACCCTTCATAAATTGTGTCCTAAAGTATACTTAAATGAAAATGTCATGTTTTTATTGGAAGGTAGGTCAGTATTCGCAGAGGGCGTAAGGCACAACTGGTCTGTTCGTCAGTTGGGCCGTGTGTCGGGTTCGGGTAGTGGAGTAATGATGGAATTACCGATGGAATTACGGAATATATTGCGACCGATTTCTTCCCGGTGGATTAATGGTTACATCGAGATACTGGCAACAGCAATCGCCGGATGGTATTATATTGTCGATTTTAAATTTAAAAAGTAACGGATAAAACGTGAAAAATATCCTTGTATATACGCGTTCAATATCGTGCTTATTAATTTATTAATTTTCAAACACTGTCAGTATATGGTGGTATGGCCTTTTTTCTCTGAAGGCTTCCAGTTGGAGCCACCATTCGCGCCAAACACATCATTAGGGAAAATATGGTACGACCTGTCTCCTTATGAGCTGGTTTCCAGTTGGAGCCACATTCGCGCAAATCTAGGTTAACATGTTACAGAAAAAAATATCTATTTATTTATTTATTTATTTATTTATTTAAATAGAGTATAATATATTTATTTATTTCAAAAAAAAAAAAAAAAAAGACTCTTAACAGGAGATGCCTCCACGTGGCAAGAGTTGGGCAACAGTTTTACTGGCAGAACTCTCCTAGAATATACTATAAGTCTGCCGACAACCCTTATTTCAATATTTCTCTACTAACAATAGTCACGTGATTTTTATTCAATATTAACTGGTATTAACTTTTAAAAACTTGGTACAATATATGATCGATGCACAACAATTTTAAAAAATCTAGATTAAAAACAGGGCAGGACACTTTGAAAGCCTCCACAAAATTAAATTGTCAGAAATATTCTAGAAATGTGCGTGTAATATTATTATTTTTTATTCATTCGTTTTGATCTCGGGATCAAACACGGATAAGCAGTGCTGTTTTTGGTCTTGCATAACGAAGTAAAAATTTACATTTGTTTTCAGCGAGACACTTCTCCCCTTTCCAAACAAAATGCTATGAACATTAATTTAAAGTTGTTTAATATTGAAGCTCGCAGAGTTTTTGAAATAAAAAAAAATTCACTGGTCAAGTGGACCAGTGATTTAGTGAAATTCACTGGTCCACACAAATATTCACTGGTCCATCAGCATATTTTGAGAAATTAAAGTTTACAAATTAAAAAAAAACTAAGACATTGTTTTACTTTCATTCCAGTTTTAATTCAAGTTATATTTCATAGGAGAATACATGTCTCATTCTCTTTCAACTTCAATTTCTCTCACTATTTCTTTTAATAGCATTTCATTCTCCTCCACACTTTGCTCATATTCAATGTCACTTTCTTCTTCCTCACTCTCCTCTTCTACATCACTCTCCTCTTCTATATCACTCTCCTTCTCTGCATCACTCTCCTTATCCAAATTTATGTTCCCCTCTACTTCTCTTTCTACAACTGTCTGAATTTCAGTTTCTTCTGCCAAAGGTAAACTATCTCTGTTCACTGTTTCTTCACACTGTTTGTTCTTTTTGCCTCTTGTGTATGTTGTTTTCCTTCTCACACCTTTACCTGTCAACTAGTTAAGAAAGAATAGTTATAGTGCAAAGTGAAGACATTTCTTAATAAAACTAATGCTTAAATTTTACACAAATTTAATTACCATCCATTTATCCACTGCAGCCATTGGGTTGAAATCCTTTATAGTTGGTGATTCTAGCCGAATGAGCATACAATCATTCAAATGTCTCTCATTAAGCCGATGTCGTCTGTCAGTCTTCAGCAACTTCATCTGATTGAAGGCGGTTTCGTTTAGGACACTGGTAGGTGGAAGGCTGTGGATCAGGTCCAAAATATGTAGCACATTTGACACACCACAATCAGAAAGTCTTGTATGGATGTCCATCCAGGGGGTTCCTTGCAATGCTGAAAATCTAAGAACAGTACCATTTTAGAAAACTTGTAAACATGTTCAAGAATATAACTGTAATTAATTAATTAATTGTCAAATTTTCTTTAGTTTAGAAATTTACCTCTTGTATACCATACACTTTAACATCTGCCATTCTCCAGTGATGTCTGTCACATCAACCCCTGCTTGGTCTAAATTTTTCTGAAGTGTTTTACCAGACATTCAACTTCCTTGACTCCAAAGTCTACAATGCATATTTATTTTACTTTTATTTATTTATGTAATGCAATACATCTTTAGTTAAGTGATCATTGTTGTATTAATTTTTTTCCAACAAAAATATTTTCAATATTGAATTCTGTTTGAAATAAAATAAAAACAAACACCAGAAATATATTACCTTTCAAATCTGTGGTTAGTCTTCTCATGATAAAAGGAAATAACCTAATTGAAGAACAAAACCAACAAAAAATATCAAAAAATGTTAACAGTAGTGTAGTAAATGTGAAATGAAAACAGCAACTCTAATTTAACAATATGACAAGATATATTATTATTACCTGGTTGGTTATCAACAGGCCAATTCTTTAAACTTCCAATCACTGTGGAAGCCAGTACTTCATCATTAAGATCTTTGTACCTAAGATCAATGTGTTTAACTATGGCCTTCATCATCTCTGACCCCTTTTTCTGGACATCAAACACGCTACCCTTCAGATCATAACCATGATACATCTTGGTTTCTACCAACTCTCTAATTGGCTGACTTGAGCTATGAATAAATTGAACCAATTTAAAATTAATGACAATCATGAACGAGCTCAGAGAATTTTTAAAACTAATATTTGTATGAACAAGATTTCAAAATACCTTGCATCAAACTGTGTAAGAACTTCCTTTGTTGATAAGATAGCATCTTTTGCATCTGCAAGTGTTATATCTCTTTTCTGCAGTATCAATGACAGCCTTGCCAAAGGATTGATAAATTCCTGTTTAAAGTAAGATAAAAAAATTAAAAGATTTTTCATGTACAAGTACCTGTGTGTACATGGTGCCTTTAAAGTATTATAGCAAACATGTGTTACCTTAAGAATTGAGGCATAGACTATAATAGGCAAACTGTGCAACAATTTTGCAATGCCCCCAGCTTTTGCATTCTGATGGGAAGTCGTGTCAAGATGAGAGATGAATGCAGGGTAAGTCCGAAAGAGTGTTTCCAGTGCCTTCTTGAGATGAGGAAGCCATCTGCTGCCCCCTACTCGATGTGGCATGGTCCCCTTGACGTCCAAAACCTGTATAATATACAGTAAATTTAACAGAATTATAATATATCTCAGAATTAAATAATATTTTAATTTTATACCATTTTATTATTTAAATTAAAAAATGTTACCCTCATGCATTCCCTAAGGTTCTTTTTCTGCTTCGCACTGTTTTTATAGAAGTAGAATAATCCAAGTAAGAGAGTGGACAACTGAACATAATTCTTGTCGTTTCTGAAGACGTCCTTGAAAGCTAGCTCCATCCTGTGCGCCAAACAATGAACACCAATGACTTCAGAGTGTTCTCTTTGAATGAGGGATATGAGTCCATTCTTACGGCCCATCATGTTTGAGGCACCGTCACTGCCGAAACCTACTAGTTTATGCATTTGCATCTGTAAACAGTTCTCATCCATTTTCCTCTGTACAAAGTTGAGTAAATCGAGTGCACTATATTGCGACCGTGGTTCTCCTATACAAAGAAACCTTGTTGTTATTTTCCCCATCATGCTAAATCTCACAAACAATGTCTCCTGTTCAGTAGTACTATCGTCCGTGGAGCCATCCATAGTTATGGAGAAAAACTTGACTTTCTCCATCAAAGTGCTCAGGTGATCTTTTTCTGAATCTGATATACATTCCAGAAACCCCGTTGCTGCATTTTGGTTATTATATGTCACCCCATGCACTATCCCCTTGGCCTCATCCAGTTCATTCAACCAAACAAAGTCAGAAATGGGTCTGTTCTTTTTAATCAGGGCGTGGATATTCCTGAATTTTATCTCAATGTGTTTTCTAATTGATTGGTTTAATGACAGTACACATTTATGGGCGGTTGTTGACTTTTTCTTTGCATCCTCGCGTGACTTTAAGATATCAACTGCTCGAATATATTTACTTTTTTCGTGGTCTGACACTGCAGAGAGGCGAAAATTTTTGGAGCCAGAAATAAAGCTGTGCTTGCCTGCCTTCGTGACGGTGTTCCCAACGCTTTTGCATGCCGAACATGTCATCCCAGCATCCTCGCTGTAGTCCAGCCAGTCACGCCCTTCTTGCCATTTCTTTTTGAACTCTCTAACTCTTTCCTCAGTTTTTCTTTTCGATTTCGGCTCTTCTTTTTCTTCTGATTTTCTTTTACAAAACATAGGCCATGTGGCCGCCATTTTTTTGGTCTTAAAAACGCTTGATTTTTGTTTCTACCACACACTCAGATTCAAGCGTTTTGACGATCTCGCAGATAAACTTAAAAACCGAAAGTCGGGAGGTTAAAATTCCGGAAAGGTCGAATTTATTTTACCGGTCCCTCGGACCGATTATATGAGGAAAATTACCGGACTTTTGAAATATTTACCGGTTTTGCCGGTAAGACCGGCGGATTTCAAAAACTCTGAGCTCGTATTATTTTTAGGTACACTGAATGCTTTTAATATGTTTAAATCATGAAAAAAAAAATCCAGTTTCATTTCAAACTATGGACGTTTTGCAAGTACTGTAATTACTGATAATTATTGATATTGGGACAAGCTATTTATCAAGACAGCGAACTATTTGTCTCTCTGAATTCCCTACAATCAAGACATTGATAACTTTGTTTGAAACCATTTATTAAATCCAATCTATTATGTATTGTTTGAAACTCAACGTGATGATAATTCGTCGTGTTTCATCAGACGATATACATTTGTAGTGGCTGTCGTTACGGTTTTTTAAAACATTTTTATTGGGCTGGGGGGGGGGTTAAATTATTATTCCTATTCGTATCCTCTTCGTAGAATACATATATCGCTACAATGACCTTATACATGGACATGCATGTGAGATGTATTCCCTGATCACTTAAAACAGGTTTATTGTTATTTGGGTAGGTTTTCTCCACACTTTATTATCTTAAAGACACATTACTGAGGGCTGTGTCTTTCAAATCTACACGCACGGGAATTTTTGAAAGTCCTATTGTATTTACTTTTCGATAACAAACTGAATTAAATAGATTTCCAACTTTCTTTGACAACATTGTGATTAATCTATATATATAGATATAGGACTCAGTTTCTGCGTCATCGATTACGAATTCGTGTATGAAGCGGTAATGAGAGTTAATCGTCTTATTGATGTACGAACAAAATTTAAATTAGGAGTAGCAGTAATGATGATATAGTTTAACAGTTATTTTGAACTCCCAGCGTACTTCAAGTTTGAGGTTGTTTAAGGCATAATTAATAACCAATTAGCCGTTTATGATCGACACGGTAATTGATTTCAAAGCAAAATTAGTATAACTTCAAAAAGTTCATTTTTTAAGATCATATATAATAGCAATTTTTTAAATTTGATAACTGCTTTTTAATCATAGATGACAAAAAAGGTAATCATTATTTAATTACATAATTTGCCTCGAGTTTGTTATAACTGTGAAATTTGTGATTTTATTTTATAGCCACCATGAGAGTCGCCGTATTCGGTTCCTCCTACGTGAAGCGAGCTTCAAGCTTTACAGACTTTGTCATGCCATTTGAAGTCGGGTGGTTTGGAGTTGGTGGGATGACAGCTTCTCAACCTTGTCCAAATATCATCTCCAAGATGTTGAGGTACAACCCGGACATCGTTGTAGTGTGCTTAGGGGGAAACGACATTTCCAGTGGAGCCGAGGCGTCAACAGTCATTGACTGTCTGAAGAGCCTTTTCGACCAAATTAAAGTCTTGAGTCCCAGCTGCAGACAACCCGAGATTTTCTTCTCAGAGATTGTTTCTAGAGGAAAATTTCGATTTCCTTTGCAGCGTGAGGAGTTTGATGCAAGGCGCAGAACTGTTAACAATAAGATGAAGAAAATCCTTGGCCGAACCTACATCAGAATAGATGTCAAATTTCCCAGACATTACCTTCCCGATGAGATCCACTTCAACGAGGCGGGAACAGTCCTCTTCTTGCTTTCAATAAGCAAGACCATCAAGAGTCGCTCCTAGGAGTTGACAATAAACGGCCCTTTTAAGGGCCATTAAATTATTCGAAAAGATACCAATGAATACAGACGTAGAAACGTCGCACTTAACGTATTTACCCTTTTATTTTACCGAACTTCTCGGTAAATGAAAAGGAAATACGTAAACTTATATAAAAATACACATAAAGTATATAATACACAAGCATAACCTATTTTTTCATAATTCCCGGACATTTCGGCACAAGTGTTAGGTGCTCGAACTTCTGTTTAAACTCGTCATATTTCGTTATATCTACACAAAACCCTTTAGTTAGACTCAAGCGGCAAACCACAATGTTCATGTTATGAGGCAACAAACTGACATTACTTGATCTGTTATTAATAAAATATATATCATAAAAATCTACACATTAAAACAGTGCACGCAATATTGCAGGCGCGTATTTTATTTGAACAACCGATTTTTTCATACATAAATTTAATAAGTAGCCTTTACGAGACAATTACCGGTACTTAGGTTAAAGCACAACAAATATTTTGAATCTCTTTCTCTCTCTCAGACATATCTTAAGGGGGGTTTTGAACCCCCCCCCCAATTCCATCCAGATCCGCAAAGTTGCATTTCTCTTTATTTTGGCACACTATAAAAAAAATGCTTTATCCTTGTCTGCTGCAGCATAAATTTCGTATTTGTGAGAAATTAAAATTTTACATATAACGAAAATCCTTATATTCTCTGCGCTTCAAAATTCGTCAATCAGGATTCGGTCAGATACAACATTGACACGATTATTTATTCAATTTCAATTTTTATCATACTCCCGCTTGAAAAGTGGGAGGGTACATAGAAATCGGTATTTCCGTCCGTCTGTCCGTGTGTTACGCTTTGGGGTACCCATCTCTTATCCGCAACTCCTCCTCTCATACCACTGAAGGACATTTAATGAAACTTTAACAGATTTTAATTACATATTGCCATTGTGTACTTCCTATTTTACTTTTTGATCTGATGTTTATTTTTGATTTTCCAGAGCAAAACATGGACACTGCCATTATATTCATATGGGAGGCGGGGGGTATCATTTAGTGAGCTCATTGCTCACAGTACCTCTAGTCTATATTGCAATTTTGCTAAGCTTTTGAACACTAAATATATAAATATTCCCTGCCAATGTAAAATACTTTAAATTTATTGTTTAAACTCCGCAGAGCACCAAGGCTACTTTAAACTTTAATATCAAATAACCCACCGCCTCCTGCCGTTCACAATGTTTTCTTTGTTATTACAATTAAAAACTGGCATCAAAACAAAGGGTAAGGCTTAAATTTTTCTGACACCATGCCATTAAATTCTCAAAACCGTAAACAATCAAGAGAAATGAAACATATCTCCATTAATTGACCGAAACAATGTAGTTCAATGAAATCATTTGTAGCAAAGAACAGACCATTGTTATTAATTTTTCTTGGTCGATATTTCTGATGGCATACATTATTAGACGTTTGGTTAAAGATACATATATTAAACACCGAAAAGAAAAAATAAAACACTATTTTCAATCTTGGACGGACATTTTGTAGGGGCGGACATAACGTTACAATTTTGGATGATCGGCGGACACTTCGTGGCGGCGGAAATAGTATGACGATTTTTTTAGGGAGAAAAGGCGGACATTTCTTGGCGGCGGACCTAATATTTCTATTTTTTTGGGAGAAAGGCGGACATTTCGTGGCAGCGGACATAGTGTGACGATTTTTCCGAAAAAGAGGCGGACATTTCGTGACGGCGGACATAGTGTGACAATTTTTCCGAAAAAGAGGCGGACATTTCGTGACGGCGGACATAACGTGACGATTTTTCTGAAAAAGAGGCGGACATTTCGTGACGGCGGACATAATGTGACGGCGGACAAAACGTGACTCAACACCTGGCATTGAAATGGAACATGTTGGACAGGGTTATCACGGTAATGTTGATTTTGAACATGCATGCAAAAATTTGGTATGATATTGCATATTATAATGTATATTAAGAAAAGTTCAACACATGCATTCATTAACTGGCATGTATTTAATGTATGCCCTTTGTCCACAAAGAAATTTTAAAATCTTTTTATGAGGCTGATTGTATGAAATGATAGATAAATAGGCAGAATGCTTCACTTTTTTCTTATTTATTTAATTCGAAAATGAACATATGAAAATGTACATGTCACATGGGGGAAGATTTTCAGAATTTTTAAATTGGATGTTGGAATTTGTATCTCAAATGGGAAGATGGCTTTTCAAAGAACATTTAGGTTTTGATTGAGATCAGCGATTTTCTTCAAGAATGATGCATTTGATATTACTATTAACAAATTTGAACAACTCCTAATATCCAGAACTTACAAATACATGTACATTGTACTTCTGAAAACTGATTCTTGTTAGGTACATTCATATTTGTCCCAAACCAATTGAAGGCAAAATATTTTTAGGAGAATGGTTAGACTAAATGACACAATGACAATCTCATATTCATGCAAAACTTTGCACTTTGCAGTCATTTTTGCAGATTCAGATCTGCACATTTAAAGGAGTGGATACATGAGTGTTTTTGAATCTGGAATCTGGAATTCCTGACAAGATATGGCACAAATTAATGCACAAAAAATTCCTGTATCCACCCCGATATACTACTCAGTGGGGATCTGGGTTAGAATAGGTCCTCAGTACCCCCTTGCTTGTCGTAAAAAGCGACTAAATGGGGCGGTCCTTCGTATGAGACCGTATAAACCGAGGTCTCTTGTCACAGCAGGTGTGGCACCATAAATATCCCTCCCTGCTCTAAGGCCGTAAGTGCCGGGCATAGGCCTAAATTTGCAGCCCTTCACCGTCAATGGTGACGTCTCCATATCAGTGAAATATTCTGGAGAGGGACATTAAACAGTATACAATCAATCAATCAATCACCCCTATATACTGATTTGACACTGGCTGCATATTTTTTTTTACACAGAAATATAATTTGACTTAATATTGTGACTTCTTTTTTTAATGGCCCTCACGTAGGGATTAGTTACACCTTTCCTGTGTAGAATGTTTAACATGTTAAAAGAAAATATGATTGTATTTTACTTTTCAATTGACATGTCTTGGAGAAGCATCATGGTCCATATAGGCTTTTAGTCAATTATAAATCTGAGTACACTTTACATAATTTATTGTGCGATTATATT